CACACACACACACACACACACACACACACACACTATTATTATATTAATTACGGTTTACGTTACTACTACGACGTATATATATATATATATATATATATATATATAGGTTTTCACATTAGCGTATATATACCCATACATTTGCGTATATATATACACTATATACATTTGGACGTACACACACTCACATGTACCAACATCCATCCACGCACCCACGCATTCACCCACCCACACCCTCACAGGCAAAGGCGCTAACGCACGCACACACACAGACGCACACACACAGATATATACACAAACCGCACGCACACACCAAAAAACAACAACAACAAAAAACACCAAACACACACGCACACATACGCACACACACACACACACACACACACACACACACACACACACACATATATATATATATATAAATGTATATATATATACATACATACATACATACATACATACATACATATATATATATATATATATATATATATATATATATATATATATATATGTATATGCATATATATATGTATATATATACATACATACATATCAATATATATATATATATATATATAAAATATATAATGTATATTTAGCGTGACTCTGGATTGGTTTTTTTTCAAGATCTTAAGTTCCGTGTTTGAATTTGCGTGTGATTAAACACCTTTTCGACGATATTTTAGTCGGAATTCAAGTTTCAAGTACTGATCACGTGCGTTCACTGTTCAAGCTCGGCTTTAATTTGATTTCTTCCCATTATTCTAATCCAGAGCATCAGCCATCAGCCACTCTCTACACTACGCCGCGGTGTCGATCGGGCCGAGTGTATTGATGTCGCCGATACGAAAGGAACTAGGTAGGTGCGAGGTAATGTTCAACATATTCATGCGCCAGAATTAACATATTATTTATTCGCCAGGATTAACATATTATTTTCCGCCATAATTATCATATTCATTCGCCAGGATTAACATTGTTATTCGCCAGGATCAGCTTATTGGTTTGCCAGGATTAAAATATTATAGGCCCGCATTAACATATTGATTCACCAGGATCATAAATCAGATTACTTGTACTGTTTATACTGATGTCTCAGTTTGACGGTCTCCCTCGATATTCACCTTGTTTGCACACGTTGGATATTGTTGCCCCTTGTTGCTATTATGCTAGTGCTCATGCGTATTCGTAGAAGCGACTTTTCTACCAGCATTAAAGTGCTATAACGAGAGCTGAGTTTGTCCCAGTCTGCCCGTACGCTCGACGGTGACAACTCTGAAAATTCAGGACAATGTTTACGAACATTTCGCCTTCCTATATAAGTACTCATATCCCCATCACTTTCCACGTGCTATCCACAGGTCTCAGTGTCGCAGAAGCAGCGTATCCGCTTAATGTATTTCGACTCATTCAGTGCGTTGGGCTTGTGCCTGTAGGATTGTTCATAGACATCAATGGCGCGCGAGCTCCACTGGTGGTCGCATTTTTGGTGGCTTCATTGTTGGCGTAAGTTGCGTTTCTTGGACAGTAAGGGTTTTTTCTGGTGATAAATTTCCAGCGCATACTATACTAGTAGTCGTTCACATTCTATTTAATCTTGATAATCTATACGTTGGTGGGGATTTTAATATGTTATACTTTGTCTTGTCTTTGAGAGAGTCAGATATATCGCGATTGTTGCGTGCGGCTGAAATCCATCGCTCTTTTCGTCTACGTTGCGATTGTTCGCTTGTTCGTTTGGGCGCAGTCTGGCTCCACTGCGGTTTCCAACAGAGCCCACATGGTGTTCTTTTCGTAGTCCCGAACGAATTCAAATGGTTGCTCAATCCTCGTTACTTTCCCTGCTACAGTTGCACCTCCTTTATTCACAAACCAAAGCTTCAGTTTTCGCGTATGCAGCAACCCACTTCTCAACTGCACTGCACAGTACTATGCTATCGCACACTCACGTGCTGTCCGTTGTTCACCCACCTATAGCTTCGGACTGCCAATGGCACACAGTAACTACCAAATCCTGCTCCTGATGATCGTATATTCCTTTACGGTTTTGTTCGGGGGATTGCCATCCTTCTTGAAGCTAGCATCGTCATGGTTTGACGACTCATTCGGACTAGCCTCGTCTATTATCATCTCTGGCTTCTCACTGGCTGGTTTTATCACCCCCTTACTCTTGGGCGTGATATCTGCTCAGTACGGGTGGCGCATGGCACTCACAGTGGTGGATTGCTCGCTACTATTCGCGGGCTTGCCCCTGGCACTGATGTTTGTAAAGGAGAACAAGCGGCCGGAGCTTGTACATTCCTTTGCGATTCCCGAGAGCACGCGACGCAAGCAGTACGTGAATCACTGGGGAGACCATGAGAGTGGTAGCGAGTCTGGTAGTGACCAGTCCAGTATTGAAGCAGGGCACCATAGCATGGACATGAGCAGCTACATCGGCCCAGAACAGCCGATGCATAACGGTACAGATACCGGCATGGATATGCGCGGAGGTGATAAAGGGAAGACAGCCAGATACGACTTCGAAGCAAGAGACGGCAGACAACCTGGAAGCATGGTACGCCGGACATCGGCTGACCAGATCAGCATGCAACGCAGCCAGGGACACCGAGAGAGCGGCACCAGCGCAACTACACGCGGCAAAAAACTGAGCATATCGGAGGATGCATATGTCACGCCTGGCTCTACTACTCACAGTGGAACAGGCGATAGAGGGGCGCACAATGGAGATGCACGAGTTATGCGTGTGTCGATGGACAGTGCCAGGGATCGGGAGGGCGATGACCCGAGGTCCATCATGCGCATGTTGAGTGCGGGCGTGATGTCCATACCGGACGCGAGTGTGGACAGCTTCAGAGACACGCTCTCGACAGAAAATGCAGAGGCAGACTACGGGCATAAGCCGAACGCTAGTTTATGGCTGAAGCTGAAAGGTCTCATGCAGCTGCCTTTTCTGTACCTGATGATGGGTATTGCCTTCATGTCCTTGGGCGTGCATGTGGTATTCGATCACATCACCGTATACGCAAGCGAAGACCTGGGGCTCGGGCTATCGACGGCCACACACTACATTGCCACCGTCAATCTCTTTGCACTCTTCGCCAAACTTGGTTCAGGGTTCCTGTCGAAATTCATTGACAAACACGTATTATTGATCATTTTCTCCACCGGTCTGACCCTGGGATTTGTTGCAATGTTCGAGTTCATACCGGGTACCACGGTGGATCCCTGGCACCTCGATCTGACGAGCGGTACTTTTCGCATGTTTGTGTGCGCCGCACTGTTTGGTGGGGGCTATGCGGGTATGTTTGCAGTGTCCACAGCCATCCTACCCACGATGGGAAAGGAAACTCTGGGGCTGCGATCAAGTATACAGATGGGGTCCATCTTCCTGTTTGGGGCAATCGGATCGAGTGTTGCAGCCAGTCTACGCCATAGTTCCAAGAGTTACCGGTCCAGCTTTATGTTTGGGTTAGTGACGTCCGCAATGTGTGTAGGCATATGCGCGGTGAACTACTTCGACAATCAGGCCCGGAGTAGGCGGCGACCCTGGCGCCGAGACATCTACAGAGCAGTGCCCATGAGGGATGAAGCCGGAAAGACAGCTGTAGCTTGAGTGGTTATTCCGCTCGCGTATGTATAGAGGTGTTTACGCGTACATAACGTGATCCAAACGGCTCGTTTACAGATGACAAGCAAACACGCATACATACGAAGTGCTGATGGTCTGGTTCGTACGTACAGGGCGTGCGTTGGGATATACCTGAGGCGTACGGGTACACGAGTGCCTACAAGATGGCAGCGTAGTTAGGGGTGCAGTGACAAGAATAACAGCGACACTTTCATGGATACTTGCTTGAGCGAATGAACATGGAAAAGGACCCTAGCAAGTCATCGGCAGGAGTTGATAAGTTTTCTGGCGCCTTGGGTCTGTCACACCCACGTTAGAATCACCACAAACACAGCGAATATGACATCAAACATAGGTTGCACTATGAGGGGCTTCAGAGTGGTATCATTATTCGTACAATGTGTAGATGAGTCAATCACGGAGTACCAGACGCCAGTACACAATGAGACGAAAGCGGATGCGATTTTTGCCCATTGTTACATTTAAGTATACTTTTCCCTAACCGCAGACTTCGAGCCTACGCAGCATACATTTGAGGTGGCATTTGAAGGCGTGGCGAATTGGCGACAAAGGATCATACTATCGCTTTAGCCACAGAGTATATTAGCGCATAAATGTAAAAACATACTTAGGATAGAAATAAAATTAGTCCAATGTAGTGGTGAATTCCAGTGACTTTGGTTATATATGTCTTGAAGCTATCAGAGTACTATAGATGGCCTGTTCGTCGAATACGTGAGTTTGTATGCTTCAGCTTCAGTGGAATATATAACACTTCAATGCTCTCACCGAGTTACGCAACACTCCACCTTTCTACCGAAAGGTTTATACTACGCAATCGTGGCGTGTTCTCACACCGAGATTCATACTCATAACCAGAGTGCGATAACCGCAGCGCGACTCTTTTCGTGAAGTCACTGGGAAGCCGACGAATCAAATTGTATTTATCACAAATGCCAGTTTAAACTCAAAGATATAGTCTCTCCATAACAAACGATGTTCTCAACATTGAGTCTTCACCAAGTAGTCAGCTTCCAATTGTTGTAGCAAATACCTTCACAACCTGCCACTGTTGCAAGGCTCGATCAGTCTGTCAAATAACACACAAAATCATTTGTTGATATGTTTTACACACACCGTAAACACTCTAAGCCGCACTCACCGAAATGGAAGTATAGATACGATACAAACGCTGATTTGTCAGTCATTAAAAGTTGAGAGAGGTTTCAATACAAATATTGACCACTGGCGGTATATATACATATTGTAGAAACAACGCAGGATAAAGGCACGGACGGTCACGGTATAATATATTTGTCTGGGCGTAAATGTGCTCGAAAATGTTCAAACAACGTAAATGATTGTCGGAAATCGGGATATAGGTGGTCTATGCTTGCTGAACTTGCTGGTACGCTGTGGGTGGTCCTGAGCGTGAAAGTCGGAATTGTCTCTCTTTGTGTTGGTGAATATTAATTTATGTAAAATCGTACAAAAGGGAGATCCAATAATTAAAATAATGTAACTGTGCATATTCCAGCAGATTCGAGATTTGAGCGGCAATTTCCCATATATATTTACTTTTTGGAATTTATACAAGAAAATGAATGACTTCCGGTTCCTCTAAATACGTGACTGGTGACAGACGACACTGAGGGCAGGGGAGCATTGTGTGATTGTATCACCCCACGGATCCTATCCCTCGTTATGTATACCATATATTATTTAGTGTAAACACACAAATCACTATTAACTCTCGTGCAGGGCTAAATTTATCATTTTTTGGTCTTTAACGCCCATATGGTTGTACTTTAATCCATTTATGGCTGACAGACTGGAAGCAAACTAGACACTTTCAAAAAGTCGATATACACCTCCATGTCGTATCGTAGCTCGCTGCATTGTTCAGCGGATTTTAAAAACGAGCAGCTGAGTTTTGCTTTCAACTGAACTAGCATTAACTGAACTAGCACTGGAATTGTAAATGTCGGGTCGCGAGGATATGGATCAACGTGGCCGTTATGGAGCACCGAGGGATGAGCTGGAACGGATGGTGTGTTAGTTGTGTTATCAAAACATAAGTAACACGATGAGTGGTATCTAACGTAGTATTTTTTTGTAGTTAATCATTCGTGCAGATTTCTCTGTCCCTTCTCGTGATATCAGGGGGCTTGTAGACTGAGAAGTTTTGTCCAGGATAGTATGCCATATCGGTGAGATAGGTGTATAGGTCGGTTTCAATACAGAGGAAGGAGCTCATATCTCCTTAATGAGCAGTCCTTACCAGATTGGCAACTGCCCTGGCAATTGATAGTGGTTAATCAAAATTACCATTAGGTAGAACCTGAGCAAACTCACTGGATGACTTAAATATTCCCTAGACTTACTTGAACGGCTCAGATCTAGTCAATATATCACATGGACTGTATCATACAGCGAAGATTCGACTATTGTGTAAGTTTAGACGAGACAGGAGCCCAGCTATACACACCTGTCCATACATACCCTAAAGTATACAATGCAGCTCGTTTATACAGACTTGAAATGCACATACTGGGCACATACTGTTTGTTAAGATAGTATTTAGTCATATAAGCCAGCCTGCTGGCTACGATCTATAATGGCATTTTATACAGCTTGCATCGCTACTCACTCCGCATTGATCATTCAACGTGTGCATATTCGTCGGCGGTATTAGCGAATATGTTGTCGGATTCTTCGTTTTGAAATATTGCCAGCGTATCAATACGCAGTGTTTCTAAATCGACAAGTGCTATGTAAGGTGCTATTCTTCATTCTTTCACCCATATACTTCATGCTAGAATTTATGCGGAGATAAGTACCAGTCAGTATCAGTATATGAGTATAA